AAGCGCCACACGCCCGGGGCCAGCGCTTCCCCCTCCCCCCTGCAAGCGCCACGCGCCCGGGGCCGGCGCTCCCTGCAAGCGCCGCGCCATGTGCCCAGGGCCAGGCCAGCCCCGAGCACCTGGCGAGCGCATACAAATGGTCCCCGCGGGCACTGTGTTGGGGACCACAGCCCTAAGGGATTTGTTGTTTTGTAAGCACATCAGTAGCTATGTTAATTTCTTAAAGTAATATATAAGAGAAAAGTATTTCCAATACAACGTGCTATGTTAATGTAATTGACGTAGTTAATGCATCACACCTTTTACTATATTTTTCCCAGGCAACGCCGGGAATTTCTGCTAGTAATTAATAAGCCAGTCTGCTTCTCTTCCAAGATTTCAAAACTTCACCAATATTAATGACTAGAATTGTGTGAACTATTTGTAACAAAGTGTATTTGACAAATGCAATCTTTTTGCTTCATCACCAATGTTTTTTAAACAGGCCATGAGTTGTATTCATACTACTTATAATTGTTCACCAAAAGTCTACTGGCAGTGTACAGACTATGTTAATTTTATGATCTGTCCATTATTTAATTAGCTTATATTGCTCTGTGACTGGTCACCTTAATAACATACTATCGTTTCCCCGATAGGATGAATGCTACTGTAATAAAGAAAGGCGGGTTGTGACAACTAATTGCTAAGTCATGATTCTCTTAGAAGGTAGGTTGGTAGGATTCAGGAATGTTTAAAACTTTAAAACCTTTTCTTTTCTTTGCATCAGTTCTTGAATTGCTCCTGGGAAAAAAACAGTCTAATATAATAGGATAGGTTGAGATAACATTTAAAATTAATTTTCTTTTGGTACATTCACACACAGGAATTGTGAGCAGTTATAATAAATAATGATATTAAAACCAGTAGTCATCTTCATCATGTATATTAAAGTCTGGTGAATTCAAGGAAACTTATGAGAAATTATCTAAAGTATGGTACTGTGCAAATTTAACTGAGAGAAACCTGGATTTTTCTCTCTGTGTGAGTTTGATTCAAAGTACACATTGAATTTTGAGAAACTAATAGCTAAGCTGCATCATCAGATAGCGCTTTAACATTTAACTATCCCTTACCACACATAATTTATTATATTTCATAGTAGAACTCTTAGCTTAGTAGTACTGGCAGTCCCCGACTTACGCGGATCCGACTTATGTCGGATCCGCACTTACAAATGGGGCTTTTCTCGCCCCGGAGCTCACGGGCGGCGGATCGCCACCAGTGTCCTCCGGGGTGAGAAAAGCTTCTCCCGGTCTCCGTGGGCTGCCCTTACCACACATAATTTATTATATTTCATAGTAGAACTCTTAGCTTAGTAGTACTGGCAGTCCCCGACTTACGCGGATCCGACTTATGTCGGATCCGCACTTACAAATGGGGCTTTTCTCGCCCCGGAGCTCACGGGCGGCGGATCGCCACCAGTGTCCTCCGGGGTGAGAAAAGCTTCTCCCGGTCTCCGTGGGCTGCTGGGGGGGTCCAGCAAAGCCGCTGGACCCCCCCCAGCAGACCAGGGACACCCGAGCAAAGCCGCCCAGGCGG